CGCTTTGTTACCTTTTTTCTTCTTATATTATTTTATACTAATTCATGTCAACAAAAGTACAACTTATTTTTGAATTAATATATGGAACCGTAAATAGAATAGTAGTACAATTTACAAGATAAAAAATAAATCCGAAGCTTGAGGTTGTAAACACGGCAAGGAAATTCTCGTTATACGTAACGACATAAATTGTATTCAACAGACAAATGAAGAAAAAAGTAACTACATTCAGTATAGAGTTATGGACGAACCGGATTCCTATTGTTATTTCCATTTTATGATTGTGACATTGACGTCGCACCTGGGAGCGGGCTATGAATCCCGCCAGATCCGCCAGCGGGCGCATGTGTACATCAAATATGTACATTCATATCGCTTATACACTTTTTATCACATATTCGATCTTAGATATTTCTTTATTCTTATGTTAAAATATGGGATTCAGTTGTTTTAAACATTTCATTGATTATATTAAAAAGAAAATATTTTCCTTTCATTTATTTATGTTAAAAAACCTTGTTGCAAATTACAAAGTGCTCATTCTACGTCTGTGACTTTTAAGAATTCAAGAAATATTATGTCAAGTTCCGAGAATTTGTAGTAGAAAGTTATTCTTACAAAAAGTTTTAAGTGGCCTCTCACAAAGCAGCCTCTTGCAAGGAAGCAGTGCGAGCGCGCATTGCTCACTGTTGAACTTACTGTTGAATAACAATTGTAACTTGTCACTTAATCTTACTTTCGACGCAAGCGTTTTACTTTTAAACTTATTGTCTGTTTTCTATATAATAAAACATATTCCAAAACCTCTATGTCCGTTAAAAATGGTCACTAAATTAAAAATCATTCGCAATTCAAACCGTTGCAAAATAAACTTCAGCTAACCAAATCATTATAATTGACCACGGATACAACACTAAATTATACAAACCTAATATATTATTTATCAAACAAAGCCCTGAAGTAATTATACCCGGACCAACCAGAGCGACTAAAAATAATTGCCAGCTTTTAGGTAACTCCATCGTGTAGTTACTGAAATATAAAGTTAATTTACCGAAGACGAGCTCTCTCTAATGACAACCCCACTCGTTCCCTCGGAATAATTTTTCCCTCTTCCCGCAAACCATTATGTATTCATGAGGCGCGCGTCGTAACACACAAATATGTCCCTAACTACACCAATTATAACACAACGAGCTCCAACAATTTGCGTATGAGCCGTGTGCTGTTTTAAAAAACATGTAGCACATATCTGCTAAATAATATATCTCACATTAACTTCGTATGTTTATTTACAAAATTTGCATGATAATTAGTAAATATTGAGCAGCTCGTTTGCTAACACACGAAGTGGCCACAGTATAGAAACTTTGCCAGACCTAATCCAAATGTCTTTCATTGCTATTGGATCATGTTGAACAACACACACAATCCTAAAAATCGTCTTAGCCAAACTGTGCAGTCTACGATGAAATATTGCTAATACTGGTATCAATACAAAGAAGACTGTTGCATTATACAGTAAGTATAGATCATCCTTTAAGTGGTAAGATACTTCTCCATGGAGCCCTCTCTCGTTGCGAAGTGCGAAGCAATCTGCTTAATATTAAATGTTACTGGCTAAGTTCGCGCCTGTGCCGACACTAGCTTTCACACTTAAAAACTTTCAAACGACCTCATCTTAAATATTCCATCAATGCAAAATGTACTTTAAAAGCGAAACTCTACGGTTTATAATCTGATAATGTTTTAAAAAAGGGTTCACAGCTTCTAGCGTATAAAATCATCTGAATTAGACATGTGTTAAAAGCACTACATTTTATATAAAGGTATTCTTTAAAATACATTATTATAAAACAAAAACATTTTTGAAATCCTCCAACACTATAAGTTAATAATTAAGAATAAAAAATAAATATGATTAACATCATATTTGCTCTCGGCAGTTTTAGCATTGAAGTCAGTCTTCTTTTTCACCACACTATTTACCAAATTGCTATTCCCTTACAAATAGTGTTTTATCATATTCAGTTATAAACTTATGAGTTCTTAAATATAAAAGCCGTTCAGAAATGTTTAAATAATAATATCGCAGTGCGCTGCGTCACTTTTTTGGTATCATTCAAAGGTTCTTGCCTTTCATAATTATTCAGCGGTTCTCAAATTTTCCGACTCAAACTAATTAGGCGGGTCGAGAGTAATACGCCGGGGCTTGTTCGCGTATGTGTGTACCTTGTGTTAATATTCTTGTTAATGAAAAATGTATTCATACGATAGAAACTACATATTTCCAAAGACATTTTTAAAAATTATGTTAATGTAATTGAGGGTATGAAATAACATTTTAATAGAAGATTATTAAGCCGCTTAACGACATTACACAGTACCAATTAAAATCAGTTAATTCTAATTATTTCCAAGTCACTGACAGAGCGTAACGAAAACATTTTTTTTTGTATGTTTTCATTGTATGATGAAATACAACATTTTGAATGCTTCAAATAATCTCGTGTAAGTTATGACGTGTTGATTATACATATCAGTATTTTGTGCTTAATTTGTTATATAATGTATTCATGGTCCCAAAGGTGAACAAGAGCAGGAATTAAAACGATTAAGGTATCCAGTGGGATTCCAAAGGATCGTAAAGAGAGGGCCGAGGCCGCGCCGACGCTCCGGAACGTATTTGCATCTCATAAGATACCATGAATAGAAAATGAGACTATCCAAACGGGAATTAAAAGGCATAAAGATTTTTTAAACTGTTAAAAACCATTATTATAACTAAAAAGTACAAAAGAAAAGAGTAAGAAGCCCCTAACAAAATATTTGATAGAAAGTAGAAAACCTTTCCTTTAATTACCGTGCAAGTTTCGATAATACGTTTGTTTACAATGTCATTACATTTTACAATTGTTAAAAAAAATGTCAACCTTATGAAAAACAATCATACACCACGTATAACCATAAATATGGGAAACGAAATTTAATTTTCCTCATATAAAAAATCCGCGATCAGCTGAGCTTGGTTTTAAGAATTTGCACACACATTTTGTTATATAAGTAGAAATACAATAAGAAATTCTAAATGAAATTGTATCAACTTTGTATCTGTTGGTGGAACGATACCGCGGTAAGCCCTTCAGCCCCATCCGCCGTGGCCTTAGCGAACATAATTAGGAAGCTTTACGCGCTGTTAGAAACAATGTTTATAGATGTTTACGTAGCCGTGATACTAGATACTATGGTTTTATTACAAATCCTGGATGTCTTATGCACGAGTAACTTTAAGTTAGCAAAGACCACTTTTATACTTATGAATATAGTTTCTCTCACAGTTGACGCATTGGATAAATGAAAAGATATACAACAAAGATACCATCCACATAACTATGTCATCAAGGCTTAAATTACTAATCAATTGAAGTGGTTACCAGAAACACGAGTCAGTCTAACCAGCGCTAAAGTAGCAATTAGCTTTTCAAGGTAATCTTTGTTTACAATTTGTACTTTATTGTACTGCTTTTGTACTTAGACAATTACACAATTGTTAGCCACTGCAGCGAAAGTATCTTTGTTGAAACGACCAGATAACATAACGAAGTGTTTATCGCTTAAGTTCCTAAGTTCTTGGAAGCGTAGTCCAAATTTCCGTATGATAACTTCTTTTATTAAAGTTATGGAACTCTTAATGTTTCTCCGTTAGTACTCAATGATATTGTCCATAGTATTTGCAACAAACTAAATACTGCAGTGGTTCTGTATTAGTTTTTATGAGATGTATGGAATAAGTCTCTTAGAGTTAATCTATTATAAGTTCTGGGTGTAGCAATTTATTAAATTACTTAAAACAATATTTAGTACTTTGAGAACAAATACATTTTCATTTATAGCTAATTTTCTAATCAAATTTGGTCGAATTCAAAACGTAATGTGAAACCATTTCTCATCAGCACCTGCTTGATTGCGTAAGACAAACACCTGGATATTTTTCACGTTCAAAAATATGGCTTTGCTAATAAAACACTTTAAGGGCTTTCGTCTGTCGCCCGCTCTGAGCGATGTGGATAAATTAACTGAGAATCCTCGAAACTTGGAAATGTATTTCACTCTCATTGAAAAACATTGACGTACATTATTCAAGGAAAAATGGCTCGCTTCGAAAACAAACATTTATTTATAATAATTACGTTTAATTAAATTTATTATTATATGTGTTAAGCACAAGGAAGTATAATACTTACATGGCAATTTCCGCAGCAAGTTTAAAATATATATGTATAAGCATATATGCAAAGGCTATTTATCATTACATCTCGTAACGTTGCCAGTGTTGTTAAAAGTATTCCATTTTCTATTTTAACACTTTATATTCATGTAAAATGTACTAATTAGCCGGCTCCAGGGCAACATACAACCAAACGAAGGACTATATCTTGTTAATCCGCGCAATGAATGCCCTGAGGGGAACACTTCAGTCTGTACTTTGAAATGTTCTTTATACTGTTACACTTCGGATTTCTAATAATAATTTTGCATATTTTAGAACAGAGTTAAAATCAGCAGTGATGTTTTTGATGTTTCAATAAAGACGACGACCTTTGTACTTCAATACATATTACGCAAAAGTTATATCTCAAAAGTTGTATATTTGATTATTTAGACTGGCAGATACAATTCTGTCACTCTGTGTCTTAACAAATAAGCTTTGTTGTGGTTCTCAATTACAAAAAAAAATGTTTAGAACCATGGCTTCTGAACTAGATCACCCTATATGTCACGAACCAATACCTTTTCTACCAATCTGTAAATGCTGTCGTATTTCGAACGTAGTAAATAAATTCAATCAACAACCAAAGTATTTTCTCATAATATTATATGTTTAAATTAAAAATATTTCCTTATAATTGTAAAAGAGAAGTTCACTAATTAAAATTTATATGTTTTCTAATCTAATCGAGAAAAAAAAATTGAGAACCAATCATTGTAGTAGATTCTCGGAGTTTGTCAAAGTTTTTAATGACAAAACCATTGAAGTGCTCAACGCAATAGATTAATCGGAATGCTCATAATATTACTGAGATTAATATATTGTTTTACCCATAATTCATTATTTTATATAGGAATGGATTAAAATAAACTTACAATTTATTTCAACATCATCATTAGGAGCTCCACAGCCATGGGTGGATCTGGACTTGTACCACATAATTTCTTCACGGTGCTCTAACTTGCAACCATTATGTTAACACCAAACACAGTCTATAACTATTCCATGAAAACAATGAGAACATGCATATAATTGTATTTAATCTCTTAGCACGAATACCCGTTCTGTTGGGAATTCAAACATAATGAAACTGTAGCTTGATGCCTTTTTCAATAAACCTTCTCGCGGCGATCCAAACAACCCAACGGACCTCACTTGTCAAATTAACAAACTAACTTATCAAATAAACCATCGCTTCAAATAATTATTCGTGTAACATCAATCTGGAGTGAAATTAACTAAAAGGACGCCTACAATACATTAAAAACATGTGGTTTTCTAAAATTTTTTGAGCTATTGCATTTTCGCGCACTTTTGAACTATTTTGGAAATATTAAAGAGGGTCCACAAATAGATTTTATCAAACCATTTAGAACTATTCCATTATCTTAATAATTTTTTTATATTTTAAATACTACTACGTGCAGGTCATGTAAAATGCAGTTGTTGTTGATTTATTTAGTATAATTAAATAAATAAATTTAGTCAATTTTCAATTTGCGATATTTTTCATACAAAGTTTTCCATAACTTGTACGCCTTTGAATTTGGGATAGGACCCATTTTTAACTCATCGTTTATGTAGAGAAAGTTAATCTGATTCTTTTTGCTCGGCATCCAGCGGAAGTGTCGATTGTTTAACTTCGAATCTGGCGTAGGGTCCCTGGAATAAAACAAAAATGTTACTGCAAATGTTAGGAATACAATTTTGCCACAGCAAAAACATATGGCAATGCCACTATATTAAGGTTACATATCCATTAAAACATTTCATTATTCATTGCGATGTAATCCTCGTAATATATAAAAGGCTCAGAACATACATTTCTAAGAAGTAGGTACTTGTAACCTTACAAATAACAATTACTATTATAACTTATCACAAGGCATCTCCTTGTCATATAATCATTGATTATTATTACTTATGAAGTATTCTTAAAAATTAAAGTCACGTTAACGAAGTTAATTGAGTTCCAAGACATCTAAGTACAAACTTTTATATATATAAAAATAGTTATAATAATTAAGAAATAAATGCATAGCAATATCAATGTATATCAACATACCCATATTTTGCAAAATTGGTCCATAAGGTTGTCATAGTATCAATTATTTCCATATCTTTTTTGTTAATTCTAAAAGGTAGCAGCATTGCATTGAACAAATAAAACAAATCATCTCCATGACACGCCCCATTTTCTTCTGCAAATCCTGCTCGCTTTTTAACAACATTTCTAGCACCAGAATAATCAAAGTAGTAATTATAAACTACAGCATTAGCTTTTTCGATGAACAATTCAGTCTCAAATATAGGAGGTATTTCGAAATACAAGTGAGTGTAAATATCTGATACGTTCATTAATTTCTTCATGCTTACTTTATCATCGCCAAAATAAAACTTTTGTATTCTTTGTGCTTCAATAGCTGCTTCATCCTCCGACTGAAATAGCAAATCGGACGCGAACAAATATCGTCCGTTTCTCTCTTCGAGCGATTCATCCGTGTCTCCGGATATTAAAAAGAATCCCTCCTTACTGTTTGAACCGTAAATTATAGGAACACTCTTGATTTTTTTTGTTAATAAATTGTAAGGTAAATCATTGATTATAGACTCCTCGCCAGGAATTATTTCTTCGACGCAGGGCAATTGCAAAAGCTGCGTATCAAAATACTTGGTAAGTGGCTTCTTTGCTTTCGCTGTAACTAATTCTTTATACGACATTTTAGAAAATAATTCATATATTTTTAAGGGATCCTGAGTTGTCAGTCCAAAATTTTGAGCTAGAAGGCTAGCCACCCAGACAGGATTTCTGTTAATCGACCAATTTGCAGTAGATGATCCACTTTGAATAATTGCTCTATTGATTAGCCCATCTGTAACGTTGCTGGCCAATAATATGGCAGTTGACGTTGCGCCAGCACTTTCACCGAATAAAGTAATGTTATTCGGATCTCCCCCAAAAGCTGCTATATTTTTTTTTACCCACCTTAAAGCTGCTACTTGATCTTTTAACCCGGCATTGCCAGGGGCTTCTTTTATTCTTAAACAAGTAAAACCTAGCGCTCCTAATCTATAATTTAAAGTGACTAGAATAACGTTTTTTTTCACTAAGAAATCAGGGCCATATAACAATTTTCCTCCTCCCCCCAATATGAATGCTCCACCGTGAATGTACACCATAACAGGCAATGGCTTTTTAGCAAACGCCGGAACATAAACATTTATTCTTAGACAGTCTTCGGAACCGAGAACTCCGATGGGTGTTGATTGTGGACAGAAATGTATCTCGTCGACTGCCTTGAACACACCATGCCATGATGGAGGCGGACCCGGAGCCTGGAATTTGTTTTATTTCATTTTACATTTACCGGACACTAAAAATATATATCTAAATTAGAGGTAAATTTTATACGAAAGAAATTGTAATTCAGATGTTTTTTTTCTTTGATTTCAAATTTTAAAAATAGAATACAAATAATAAACCAATATCTCTCTTTGTTATACCAAACTGAATGATTACGTGTTTACAAGCCGAAAGATTAGATTATTCAAGTAAGTACTTTTATCTGTACGTTTTGTCAACTTCTGACAATTTTATAAAAATATAACATAAAATACTTTATTTTAAACAAATAGTAATGTATTTAATCAGTTGAATTGTTAATTACTGTAACAGGTTTCTTGATATATGATGTAAAGAATTGAAACCGAAATATTGATTACTTTCACTGATAAAGGCTATTACGGTTAATAATTTAATTATATTAATGCTCTCGTCAATTAACAAGTTAACGTAGGAAGTATTTGATGAAAGAATATTCATTAACTAAAGTGAAACCTGAGTGCTTGGCGTATGAACTACAACAGTACGTTTGTTTAATGGAAAAATATACCTTGAACCGCGTGCTACTGTTTGTGGAAGCATAAGGTATGCCGATGTATTCGAAAATAGTCCCATCAGCGCTTATTTTACCGCTCAAAATGCCTTGCGCGATGGTCACTTCGGGCGCCGGCTGGTCGATTAAGTTCGCAGCGAACAATGTAAATAGTACTAAATTCGTTTTATACTTCATGTTCACACACAATAACTTTTTATCACATAGCACAATAGTTGTAAAGTTAACTTTGTAGCGGTATAATTGACATGTTGTTCTGATTATTTCACAGTAATCGCCATGATAGTGAGCTCGGCTTTGTAAACGCGTGCGGTGCACGAGCGTTTTGACCTTCAACTGACTTAACCTATACACAAATATAACTGAGTATACGCGACGATCATTTGATTGCTTTTTTACATCGCACCTGTTGAACTCTTTTAATTATACGGTTAATTATATATGTCATAAAGACATTGTTTATTAATAAACATTAATGTAAATATTACTGTTTATGTATGTTTTATTCTGACCTAATTTATATTAAGTAATTAAAAAGCAAATTAACTTAAAGGTTTCACTCGACGGCGCAAGCGACAAACAAAGCAATTAATATAAAAAATATTAATTCGAATTTAAAAACACGAATTTACTTAATTAATTATTGGTGGTACACCTACTGCAGGGTTCATGTTATATTTTCAAAGGTTGGGCCCTTTTGTCGACTTTACAAAGGGAATTTGTAAGTCTCACATTGTGCCCGCCTGGGCATACGAGTATTAAGTAATATTACAAATGACCACGGGCAAAATCCTAATGTATAAAGAAAGCATTACGTATTGTTGCCTAATGGAAATCGTAAATAAATAAATAATATGCCATCATAATATACTTTAATCTTTAATATAATATTTCGTTATCAATGAAAATATATCCTTTTTTATAACAATTGACATAGCTTGGCTATTATTGTAAAAAAGACCTTATTTTCTTGTGTACTATATACGGTTGCCTTATCCCTTGCGATGAATTAGCACAAGTTGCATAAAAGAAACTTTGCTATTATATTTTGAATATATATAAGAATTAACTCAAGGCGATAGAAACAAAGTATTATAATCAAAACTTTTTACTAGTATGATTCATGTCTCACTTATAACTTTCTTAAGTAACTTTCACATTTTTTTCTTTCTCGTCACTTATGAATATAAAAGTGGTGAATTCTGCTGAGACAGGGGCGGACCCTTGAATTGATTCGCCGTAGAGCGATTTGCATCGCAGACGGAGAGCGCAGTCAGCTATTACCGACGACTCAAAAACTAATCCTCAAAGTGCTAAGAACTGAGTGGCCTTTGGTCATTGGAACTATAAATGTCATAGAGTCGACATCACAATAATTTTATTTGCTACATTTTTCCCAGTGATAATAATGACTATACTTAAGTTGATGACGAAGTAAACAATTTTTCATTACAATCGTAAATTTGTATTGTTTAAGTTACGTTTAATATCGTTCAATTATGATGTTTACTTTTTATTAGAACTAGAATAGTAACCTTACCTTTGTACACTGAGAATTGTTGCAACTGAATAAATTAATAATAAACATTCCATCCAAATTGATATATAAACACGGCTAAACACTGACGTATATTCGTCCGGTGGCGGCACCGACTAGTTTCGAGCCCATCGGGGGGAGCGAGTAGCTCAGTGAGCGACGGGCCGCGTCCGCGAAATAATACCAGTACCACTCATCCTGATGAAGGGCCCACGATGGGCTCGAAACTAGTCGGTGCCGCCACCGGACGTACATACGTGAGTGTTTATATATCAATTTAGTATAATGTCTCACGAAAGTTTGAATAATTTAAACATTCCATCGTTTGTTTTGTCATCGCCTAATTAACAAACAAATCTTTGCGTTCCAAAAGTGATAACTGATTGGGACATAGTCAGTAACGTTTTATTTGTTTTGATGTTAATATAGCGGTGAATAAATTACAAGTGAAGAAGTGTATGGCGGCAGTGAAAGTGTTATTTGCATTGAAATTGCTCAGCTTTATTGAATGAGAGGACTCCCCGAAGGATGCCGTTTACTTTTCTTAATGGACGTGTCGATTTCTATCTCAACACAAATAAAGCAACCTCCGCTCAGAATCTCGTCTCCTTTCTATCGGCTGTCGAGGAAATTTTAAATCGAAGAGGCTTTCAGTTCTTATGGTAATTTGACCCGTGCCTATTGAATTCCCTATCATTGATTAAGGAAATAAAAAATTCTCGTATCCTGATATAAATTGCTTCTAACAATAATTTATATAGACTACATAAGGATGAAAAATTCAATCGTATAATTGATAATAAAATAAGGTCACTTGATAAATTATTTGTGAAGTTTTAACTTTTACTTACGTAAAATGTAATCCTTTGATGTTCATTTAAAATGTAATTAAGACCAATTTGGACGAAAAAGGATAGTGAAAAATAAAAGGTCATTTGGCTAATATGAAATGCCACCCTTGCCACTTGGTGGCTAGCTAAACAGGCCGTTCTCTTCTCGTCGTTTGTCCAAAATTTACTTGAATAAATTACACGAAAGGCGAAAACTGTTGAATTTTAACCCGATCCCGCACGTGACCGCCCGAAGAATAGCGTCGCGCTGAATTTTAATAATTTATACGTTTGCATATTATTAAAATGACGAGCCAACAATGTGTATAATTATTAGGGTACTTATTCCATGAAAATTCAATACTTTACTTTCATATGACGATTGGCGGGAAAAATCAGTAAACAGTATGGAGGGAATGCAGGACTTTGTTCTGTAGTGGAAAAAAAGTTTGACAATATTATTAAATTATAAAAAAAGTAAGTTACAAATACACTGAGCTTTTACTAAATACCAAGCAAAGAATCCTAAGTAAAATTATCTTAACCCAAGGAATGCAAGTAAAGTATACTTAATTTTAATAACGAATTGCTCAAGATTTAGTATAGCAAGCAAGAAAATTGAGAAAGTGATGAATAATTAAAACACGTTACAATGTCTTGAATCAACTCTTGATAATTATTCTGATACACGTCGTCAACTTCGTAAGTGACAAGTAGGTACTTAAGCCACGGGCACGAAATTAGGGACGAGCGGGGCGACGCCACGGGCGGAGCGGGGCAACAATCAAAAGTGTAGCACAATACAGCGACACGCATGAAACGAGCGAGAGCGGAGTAGTAGTCTCGATCTGCTGTCGTGGTGCTCCGCTCATCGCTTAGTTTGTATCCGCGGTCTTATTATTAGTACAATTTATGTCTTACCAGTTTAATGTTAATTGCTTTCTATGCTTTTCTTACGAACATTCTTAAATGTTAATTAACTTTAGTCATTATATTTGATTCTCGAATTCGCAATTTTTTGGTTATGTGTTTCCTAATATTATTATGAACATTAGATTTCTTTGCTTGTTCGGGAATAAGCATCTGAAAGAAATCCGGTTAACTCCAAACTGCTCAACTGATTTTAATATTCTTCCTATCTTTCCTTTCAGCTTTAGTTATACTATGGATTTATCTTATAAATTAGCAAGGCAGAGACGTGTTTCAAATTTATTAAATAGAAAGCTTTCTATATTTATCATAAAGAGTTTTCCATAATTGATAAGGCTTCGGATTCGGCATTTTTCCCATCTTCAAGTCATCGTTTATATATAGGAAGTTCATTTGGTGTTTATTACTTGGCATCCATTTGACTTGAAGTTCTGTTTCATCCGGGGTTGGCTCCCTATAATCAATATTCATGGTAATTTTCAAAAATATATTTAAGCATCATAATATTAATATTTATAAGATAAGCTTACCCGTATTTAGCGAAGTTAGTCCATAAGGTTGTCATTGTATCTATCATTTTTTGATCCCTTTGAAATAACGTTACAGGTAAAAACAATGCTTTGAAAATATAAAATAGATCATCGCCATGACATGCTCCATTTTCATTAACGTAACCACTACGCATCTTCATAAAACTTCTTGATCCTGAGTAATCGAAATAGTAATTGTATACTGTTGTGTTTGTTCTTTCGATCAGAAGCTTCGATTCAAACAAGGAAGGCATTTCAAAATATAAATGCGTGTACATATCGGACAGATTCCTCATATTCTTTGTACTTATATCATCATTTCCAAAATAAAATGTTCTTATTTTCTGTGACTCATTTGCTGCATCATTTTCTCTTTTAAAACTCAAATCCGACGCAAACATGTAAAATTTATTTCTATTTTCATACATATCAGACCGATATTCGGATATCAAAAATAAACCTTCATTGCTAGTAAAACCATAAATAACTGGAACACTTTTAGATTTCTTATTAAATAAATTATAAGGCAAATCTGTCAATACTGCTTCTTCTCCATCTATGTTCTCTTCAACGCACGGCAGATGCATTAGTTGTGTATCGAGGTATTTCAGAGAAGGAATTCTTACATTTGTTCCTACCAGTTCTCTTATTGATAGCTTAGAAAATATTTTATATAAATCCAATCTACTATCAGCGCTGTAACCTAAAGCTTTTGCTAGAAGTCTTGCTACTTGTACGGGATTTTTGTTTATGACCCAATTAGATAGAGCCGGTCCGCTTTGTACTATAGCTCTATTGAATAAACCTAAAGTCGCGTTGCTCGCTAACAACAAAGCAGTAGATGTAGCACCTGCACTTTCACCAAACAACGTTATATTATCAGGATCTCCACCAAAAGCAGCAATATTTTTCTTCACCCATCGTAGTGCTGTTATTTGATCCTTCAAACCCGCATTGCCAGGAGCTTCTTTTATACCGAGGCATAAAAATCCGAGTGCACCCAATCTGTAGTTAAACGTTACTACTATAACATCTTTTTCTATCAAGTAATCAGGTCCATATACCAGTTTCCCTCCACCGCCTACAATAAACGTACCACCATGGATGTATACCATGACTGGAAATGGTGGTTTTGCCATTGTTGGAACATAAACGTTGATCTTGAGGCAATCTTCGACACCAATGTATCCAATATAAACTGGTTGTGGACAGAAGTATATCTCATCCACCGCTTTGTAAACTCCCTCCCATGAAGGCGGAGCACCCGGTGCCTAAAAACAAATCGTTATTAGATTTGTGTATCTTTTTTTGTATTTTCAAAATTATAAATACCTTAAATCTCGTACTGCTGTTTGTAGTAGCATAAGGGATACCAATGTATTCGTAAAACATTCCACTAGTACTTAATTTTCCGCTGAGAACTCCTTGTTCTATCGTCACTTCTGGCGCCGGCTGGTCAACTAAGTTTGAGACGAGTAGAGTAAACAAAATTAAATTCTTTCTGTGTCCCATTTTTTAATACATTCATATTATTATATATTAGTTAAAAAATATGAGAAAATGTAGTTAATATATAATATTAATGGAACGTATCGGACAGTAGAAGCGCACACTCGCTATAAACAACTGATTAATTTGCTACATTTAGCGACGAGATGTTTTTCTTATGAATAGTTATCATTTGTTTATATTGACTGTTATTAAACCTAATTATTGACGCCGAGTAGCGACATTATTTATTATTGTTTTCTGACCTTCGAGAAATTTATCAAGTAATCAATATGTTTTCTCTTATTTAATCTGTAAGTTTTAATTAATTTTTTATTTCTTTCACATTTTAATTTGTAAACAGTTAAAAAAGTCAATGTTTTAAGTTGCAACAATGTTATATATTTTATAAACAAATAAGTTATAATTTGATAACACTTTGAATAGGTCATTATAAAAGTTAAATGTCTCGTAGAACAAGCAAACACCTACTAACATATATATTTTCTTATTTAGAGAAGGGACTTTGTCAGTTATAGACCACACCGTCTTTGAGTCTTCTAATTTACTATGCAGCTACTTTATTTGTCTTGTCTGTCCGGAATAGTGTTTAGCCACTGACATTCCTCTAGTTCACCAAGTGTGACGCCTATATCCTGCACGAGAAAGTCTACAAGCAAACTCTGCGAGTACAGAGTATCCGTATTTCATTAGCAATTGAAGCACGTGAAACAAATGAAAACACGTAATAGTTCAATGAAGTTTAATTGCTACATAAATGTACAATTTAAAACAATAGTTGCGGGTTCATTTAAAACTGTGAAGATTCAACTCATAACGGCGAAACGTCGAAATGGAACGAGTTTTGGGCTTTTTAATAACAACACAAAGTGCGCGCGTACGTGCTGAAGTGGTGCCGCATTGTGCCACTGCCGCTGCCGCTGCCGCTTGCCTGCGCTCGGCCACCTCCCACCTTCCACCTTCCACCTACCACCTACCAGCTCACAGCTCCCAGTTTACAACTCGCAGCTCGTAATGAACTAACCCCGTTTCCCTGCCATCAGATATTTATTCAAACGAGCAACGAGTCATTCATTTACTTCATTTATTATTATTTTTTCATTATAGGATTTCAAAAGGAAAGATGTAAGAAATAATTTACAAATCCGGTCATATTTCTGGATTATTTCAAAATTAATCTTATAGATCATACAGAAAGCAACCTTATTTTTTCTTCCAATTTAATAAAGACACTAATGTAATGCACAGTCTGAGTTTGCGACCTTAAGTTTAAATTTCCTTCATTAAATCTTCACTAACGGAGACTCTAAGTACGGCAGACGGTCACCTATCGCATAGATATCCGAGTAGTAATAGATGTTATCTATATATATTAAATAGGTTAGGTATGAGGTGACGCAAATGCAAGCTATCTAAGGTCTCATAAATAACGAGGTTAACTGTAACTTCTCTCACACAAGAGTTATCTCTAAGGAATAAATTCAACTGACCGAGCTCTGTAACTAACCGCTTCTATATTAGTCTTAGCCCCGCAACGTTGGTGAAGGAATGTGAGCTTCATTTGAATAATATTCCATGTAATTACTTACCCAATTTACTTATAACTTAATAGTTATTATTCGCTTGCTTAGATACATTCATATTAAATCATATTTTAAATGCAATATTAATGCAACATTTGCAAGAAATGCTTACTTGAGTTATCAAGTTATTTTAAATTAAAAATAGGATAAACTTTTTGTAAGGACTATGATTAATGTGTTAATGAGATATACTGTATGTGTTAGATAGTGTACAGTTCTGTAAACAGAGTTTGTACTTTAACAATGATAAAGGTGATGTAAAAAACTTACAACTAAATCAATCAATGTCTCACAAAATAAAATGGCGACCTGTCTCTTGTGATTTCACGCAGAATTATATTGTATTTGTAATAAGTTTATAATTTTGTTAGCTTATAAATATATAAATTAACTATAACACAATTGAAAAATTAAAAATGAACTCTAAATATTTATCAATGGTTCTTTGCCTGTGTTAAAGATCAATGGAAAAACCACAAAAAAGTCCAAGTTTAAGTAACTCGGAAACAAAGTATTAAATGTTTACGTAGTACAAAAAAAATTGAAATTAAATAAAAAAAAGTAATTAATAAATTAAAAAGGAATTGAGTAGACAGTAAGAAGTCGAAAAAATTTAAACTTAGGGAGAGTTTTGTCCGCAATATCTTGAAACAAGAATTAATACCGGCGAAGTTCAACAAAACTTTAAGCGACCTTTTCACGTGCGAACTTGGATCGAAAGTCATCCGTCAAAGACGACCACAGACTACGAATAGCCAGTCCATAAAGAGATACATCACATACGTTTTGTTATTTTCCAGAATACCAATCAAAAAATATAGGATATCTATACATATCAATAAAATTGTGTGTCTGTACGTAATATGCGTTGCTAATAACGGAAAGCCAATTTTTAAATTTTGTCTGTCTGTCCGCTAGTCCTCTTATTATTAATAAAATAATACAACAAGTCAAGTTGAAAGTGTAGGCAGAGCGTCATATATACAAGTACCTATCATGTAATTGTTTACGTGTTGTAATTAATTAAACGTATAACGACACATTCAAACTAGCTAATCCTATTTCCCTATCTCTGCTGACTACCAAATGACCCGAGGGTGAAGCTTCTGTGTCCAAATATTAAACATTAGTCTGGTCGTAAATTGCAAAGCTCGTTGTTGTAATAAGCTATAACTTATGCTCGTACAATAAAGGTGCTGCCGCGTATAAACTATAACTAACTCGCAGACATATTATGTTACCCGGCCGCGATCCTCGCCACGGACACTTAAATTTATTCGTGTGCAACGCGGATGAGCCTGGGAATAGCTAGCAGTGTGTAACAATATCCAGGTTAACTTTTTAAACAGTAACACGCTGTAATACAGGTGTTTCGGCTGTGGAAACCCAAATTATACAGAAATAAAAAAGGTTTATTAAATGCTTTTAAAGATGAAACATTAATTTTGCGTTTCTAGTAATTTCTAGGTACTTGAGGTAGAGGAATAGATTTTGCGGAGTCATTGAGATAGCCAACACTATTATTGAATTTATTTGTCTTCATATAAAATGAAAATAATTTATACTAACATTTAAAGAAACAGCAAAGTCCCGAAACATTTCGAGACAATAATGAAAGCGACGGCGGAGACATAACTTCATTTTATCCCCGGAGACGTTGATTGATCATCCGCTAAGTCTTTCGCGTTTCATTCATTTATAACTTGAAGAGCGAGCGCGACACTTCCTAGGTTTAAGTCTTTATTTACGTTAACCTGAGCCCCTTGTCTTGTTATGAATTCAATATTTTAATCTAATCGACTGACGAGGTAAGCAACAATGTTGTGAGACATATGAGTTATCGTTTTGAGGATTATCAAAATATTTGTGTTTATAAAACGTGGTTTAATTGAAAAGCATGTCATATAATTAATGATAAAGTCAAGATACAACAATATTGTTTAAAAAAAATAAGTAACGTTATGAGTCCGAGTGAAAGTTTATCATTTAATATGTTTGCGTTATTTTATTGCATAACACTAGAAGTGTAACAGTTTCACAGAGAAGTATATGCGCCACTAATCTGTTTTATTGTACATATTCTCTCTGTGGAGCTACATATGTTTACTGTAAAACATTACTCAGTAAAATAGTATGAAAAAAATCATTTAATATCTCGAATGTAATAACAAAGTATTCGATAATTTTATTAGAGCGTCATAAATCTCTGTAGTAACAAAATAATACCTTATCTGGGTAAAATGACGTTGACAGATTGACAGGGACTAAAGGTAATCTTTTGCGTTCGTAACGACAGCCTTCTGAGCGATCAAAAGTTCGCAATTTGTTCCCCATTTTCCAATTACAATATTTTCAACGATGAATAGATTGAAACAAGCTCTCAAGTCTTGTAAGTCCGCTGAGACGGCAATCGCTTTGCATTTTCAACCGACGTATTCAAGTCAATGCTGTGCCACTAGCTAGATGCTTTCAATGTTTCATGTAAAATTAATTTAAATGGTTTTAGTAAAGAGATAATTTCTAGTGTAAATATAATGCACATAATTTTTTTTTATATGTAATAGAAATATTTAGTCTTTTGTTGGCACAGAAGTAGAAATATCTGATTATTTTTCGAAGAATATCAATAATTTGAATAAGGCCCAAGAAATCATAAAACCGATAAGTCTTGAACGAAGGTAGTGAACTAATAACTTCTTAATAAAACAAAATTCTATTGGTATGAGGCAACTTCCAAACTCATTTAAATGTTGGAACCCATTAAATATAATTCTTATTTAACGAGACCTTTGAAACTAAATCGATTCAAACCCTTTTAAAAGTTGTAAAAAAACCTTTCATATATCCCGGACGTTATAAGAATATTTTAAAACATAACGTGCTACGTTCACTTCCTTTATACCTCGGCTCCTGAAATTCAGCAAAGTCCCGCATTAACTATTCCTTCCCTCACCTGAAAGGAATCTCCCCGGAATAAATTCAAGTGACGCCGAGATCACAGGAGGCCAAGATAATGTGTCTGCAAGCTAGTTACACTTTAAACCCTAAGCTCTAAGCTCCCTCCTTAAGTTATCGCTTGTAACACCAACCACCTCTCACGTTCACTCTACACTTTTTAATTTAAATACATTCTAAGTAAAATTATTTGCACTTATTTTATAATATTACGGGCAAATATTAGATAAGTATGTGAGTATAATATTATGACTTGTCTTTTAAAGAAAATTGAATCACTAAAATCTTCATATAATTAAAAGTTTGTAATCCTTTTTTGCTGAACCGAAACTTGATTGATTGCAACATGAATTATTTATTATATAAGTATACATGTCAGTTAATTATACAAATGTATGTAAGTCATTTTACCTTCTGACTTAAAATATTGTTGTGGAAAGTTGTCAGAGTAAACTAGGAGTTACTTATTCTGAAACAGCGATTTTAGTTAGTAGTGTTAACACACGCTTCACTCCACACATCTTGGATCGAAGCAGTGCTATAACTCTCTATATGAACCTTTACA